TAGCTTAGATGAATTACGTCTAATAAGCGGTGATATTGGACCATTCGAAGCTGGTATGCCTATTTGGGTACCAGTCTGGGTAGCAGTTACTTTAAGGAAACGTCGGAAATGTACTATCATTGTTGGTTTTTTTTTTTGAATGATTACTTTTAATTTATTATGGATAATAATTGTTATGCAACTGTGATGTTCTCTAAAAATATTGTGCTCTCATTAATATTATTTCTATTTTAAAAAATATTTCTTTGCTTTTTTTTTTATTTATAGCCACCAGAATGGTTGTGTGTGGAAGAATTGAAAAAGCTTGTAATAGCGGAAAGTTCAAGTAATGCATTTGGACAAGTTCCACGGTTTTATTTGGAAATAGCTCATATGTTTGTGCAATACGCCAAAGAAGATCTTCCGGATAGCGATATGGTAAAGTTCTCTTTTTGATTAAGCTGAGTGAAACGGGTCTTTTAAAAATTAAAATTGAGAATATTATATAAGACTAGATATTTTTACCAAAGATTAAAAAAATTGATCATTATTTCCATTTGACTGATATATAATTTTCCATTTAAAATGAGTGTAATAGTGAAATATCCACCAATATTTTGATAAGAAATGTTGAATGTCACTTTATTACTGCCGTAGTGCAGGGAAAAAAAGAAATTCTTTTGTGTAGAATCTAAATTGAATTTTATGCTTTCTCTGCATTACAAGACTTTTTAAGTTTTAATCTATTGAAGCATTTGTGGGATTTTTTTTGTTCTTGAATTTTTTTATATAAAAATATTCTATTTCTAGCACAGAATGAAAACAAAATTTTATTAAATCCTTTTACGTAAAGTATTATATTTTTAGTTGAAAATCATTTTATCTATAAACAATAATGTTCATGCATTTCCAAATATAAAATACATCCATAATTGGCAGTATTAAACACAAATGGTATATGAAATGGAATAAATGAGGAAAAGAAATGTAAGGAAACAAAAGAAGGAACACTTCTCTGACAGTAAATTATTCTTAATGACACGGAAAATGAAGCAAACTTTCTTTATTTGAAAACCCGCCTAACTGACCTGGAATATTTTATGAATGTTGTCCTCTATGTGTATTACTTTAATAGCTGAAGTCAACATATAATAAATATATATTAGTCTTCCATTCTATAAATCTCGACAAGTAGTCTTTCATCACAATGTAAATCCCATTCATTAGTACATAAATATTTCGTTAGCAAATCTAAGTGAGGAACTGGTTCTTTACATTATTGTCATTACTTGCAGATAAGAGTTTATGTACAAGACTTATGGGATAAGCGATCTGCGAAGCTCAACAGTTCATCAACTAAATTTTTGGGACAGGTATAATTATATTTTTTGCCGAAAAAATGAGGATGGCAAATTGTCTCCCACTATATTTACGAACAAAAAATCCCTACATCATATATAGCTTAAATTTTTAAAAAAGTGCGAATTGAGATTAGTTTCTACATCTATCGATCTAAGCTAAAGTTTGCGACTGAATGTTATATTTGAAAGGAGTGAAAAATAGTTTGAAAACAATTTTGAATTCAAACCACACAACAATAATAATAATAATAACATACAATCACTTTTACACATGTCGCATAGGTGAGCAGATGAGCGACTGTCGAATAGATATATCGCGAAGGCATAGTTGAAGATAGAAGCAACATGACATTATGGACGTTGATGAACATGACCATATCGGTAATAAGACTACTTGTCTATATAGCATGGCATATTTCAACTATAATATTAGAAATATATACCATTTTTCATTTTCCTCTTCCCCAGTTATGAGATAATAGTTAAGACAAACACAGAAAAAATATAGCTGATATCAAACAAAAAAAACCAGATGTTTAAAAGATTCATGAAATCGTTTTCGCCTCATTTACAGGTGGAATCGTGTCATGCAAGAATGGATAACATTACTTTAATGGAAGTGGCGTACATTAAACGATCATTAATTATAGCTAGTCGCGAAATTGAGGCGCTTAACAAGTCGTTCCATGAATTGTCCAGTCAAAACAGTACTGACCAGAGATATGTAGTAGCTTGAAAAGGAACTTTGAACATTTTGTTATTCCTTTTTAGTGCGGAGCACTACTCGTTCCTGTATTTTATTGCTGTTCTATTGGATTGCAAGGAGAACATTACGAGGAGAAAATAACGTATTAAAAAAGTTCAAATTTTCTATTCGAACCACTTTCTTTTCATTCCGTTTTTATTTTTCATGTCACCACAATCAGTGAATAATCAAAATAAAGTCACTACCGGAGCTTGTATAGCAAGTTAAAAAGACATAGTTATCTTCACACACGAAAATTTAGGATATTAATTCCGAAAGCACTTCCCAACTTACAGAGAAAATTTATGCTTATCGAATACAACACTGAATTGCTTTTGTCTCTTCATACTTGATTTTTCTCCGTCGACAGTAAGTCAACAAAAATGTTTCCAATATTTCCATTAAGGCATCCACTGCAACAGGATTACCGGCCACTACTTTTAATGCCGTAAACATTTGTTCTTCTGTACAACCCCTGCAATATAAAGAAAATCAAAATTTTCAAAATCCCTTATAAGTGGTATCAACCACTCATAATATATTTTTTTAGGAACTTAAAAAGTTCTATCTACAGTCATTGATAAGTGATCAAATTATTCATAAAAAACCCAACTTGTATAATTTACATAATTCTATTAAAACCGTCAAATATGGGAGAATTAGAAAAAATTGTTATTAATAAACAATAAGATAATACAAAAAAATTCAAGGCAGTCCTTCTTATATGTCCGCAATATTTCTCACAACTGATCAAAAAAAATACCTAAGCAAGCAGCTTATACAAGCATCCCTCAATACATTACACATATCACTTCCTGTAGAGAGCATAACTTCCAAATAACTTGGCAGTGTTTCACCGTTGATCAAATTTCTGAGCGGACTCTCGTGAGCTAATAATTTGGAGTTCATTCCTATACAGAGATAACGATCTGATAGCTGCAATATTTTTCATTCATAACTATTCGTTTATAGGAACAAATTTTATACCACTGAGAGCCAGAGGCTTTTTAACCATTCGATTTGCTCAAACGTCTACTTTTTATTCGCTGAATTCCCACAAATATAATGTTAAGCCTAAGGAAAAATTTTAGAATGCGAAAAAGTAATGTTATGCTGCTAAATATGAAATCCAGTGATTGCATAACACTAAAGCACATGGTACAATAAGGGAATATACAAAAGTCAGTCACCTTTAACAAAGCCGGTATATCATTTTCACTTATTTTCACGCATGACTCGCCACAACCACTTAAATAATGCAAGAAAGTGGAGAACAAGTGAGAAGAACACTGTTCTTCCTCTTCATCAAATTCAAATGTATCCTGGAATTGCTCCGAAAATCCACTTCCAAACATCCCCTAAAAGTCAACTTAAGTTTCCAAGGATCAACTTTGTTAAAGAAACAGATAATCCACATAAAATTAATTGAGGATTAAAAAATATTTTGTCACTGCAAGGATTGAAAACATACGTTAATTCGGGAATGCTCAATTCATCCTAGGTTAAACTAAGCCTTTCAAGATTTGCAAAATGTGGCTTATTTAACTAATTAGACGCAAACAAGTGGAACA